AAAGTTTTATGATAGGCGTGTTTTTTTGAAGTAACTAAAATTGTGTCTTTTAGAGTCTTAAACTGAAGATGTGTTAAAGCTGGATATTTCATATTTGACTTTTGAAGATCTTATGAACATTTATGAAGTGTTCTAGGAGTTTCATATTATTCACAACCATCTTCTACATGGATACAATTATTTTAATAATTGTTTTATGGAAGAAATTTTTCCATCCCACACTTGCACTGAGTGCTCTGAACTTTAGTAGTATTCATAATGGGTCATTTGTAAAGTTTTCATAAGAAAAATAAAAGACCAGGGAATCTCCTGTGTATATCCATTGATACTTGAAAGGAAGTTTTTTCTGTCTTCTCTTTGCTGGTTTTGGTATAGTACTAATTTCAGAGGCATTTATCTTTTGAACATAGAATGACCCATACTACACCACACTTGATTTTAGCCAAAAGCCTGAGAAGTGATCCTTTGTGGTCAAAACTAGGTGAAGTAAGTCCTAACTTTGTTAATTGGTTATTGTGCCTTCACTGCTTTTACAGAACTCCTATTAATATCTTGACCTTGTCAATGAAATTAAGGGTAACGTTGATTTTCTTCTGATGTAGTCTATGTAGCGACAGCATTCCTGAAGCTATCCCTTCATCCACTCTCTACAGTTGTACATGAAGTTAGCTGTTACAATTTTGTTTGGTTCTTGCTAAAGTAAGAATAGAAGAGTTTAAATAAAGGAATCTCTAAAACATTTTAACTGAAGGAAAATAGGAAGTTTATTTTGGGCTCATACTACAATAAATGAGGTGTCAGATTTTGATTAAATGTTACTGGAGGCTTTTATGAGTTTCAGAGAAATTAAAGAAACTTTAATTTAGATCCTTGTTTTAGCCACCCTAAAATAATAATTAAAAAATCATACAGAAAGCAGTCTTTAATAATTGTGTTATCTGCAACATTGGTATTTTTTTCCACACTGTGGAGACTTACTCAGGGCAGTTGGGGTGTAAAAGATGGTCCTTTACATCTGTAATACATGTCTTGATTCCTATGCTTAGCTTTTGAGCTCTGGGGGAAGTAGGCAGTTGTGTATCTTAGTAACTTCTTTGCATCTCAGTATTGGCATAAGCATCTGTGATAGCAAAGATGTCAGAATATGATTTTCTTTATGAGGACTGGTACACAATTTACATGCATCAAATCGTATTTCGGTATATAAATAAATTCTTTTTCAAGCTTTGCTATACTGGTGTCATTTTCCAGTCCTAATATTTCTTCACAACAAGTTGTTAACGCTATCAATAGAAGGCAAACTGTTAACATACTTTGTAAGTGTTAATAACCTGCATAATAACAGTGTGTCCACTGAACTGAATATTATTAGAAATATTTTTTATCTTATGTATTATTTTATTACATGAAAATAATAATATGAAGGCATTTAAGTTTTCACACAACAATTCTGTTGCTGGAATTGGAGGATTTTTGCCAAAGACAGGCTGGAGGAGTGGCACGGGATCAAATACAAGCCATTTCCTTCAGGCTAGTTCAGTCAACTGTCCAAAAATATGCTAAATTTGAATAAAGGTAGAGGCACTTGAAATTAAACTTTTGCTCTGATTTTATTGCTGTTTCAGTCTCTTGATATATAATATATGGAAGTAACCCTGTCTGACTGGTTCAGTTGAGTTTCTGCGCCTGCTCCTAGAAGAGCTTGATAGGGGTTTTATCAGTGGTCTTTTTCCTCTTGTAAGCATCCCAGGTTACTAACAAAGCTTCCTACACAATAATGGTGTTCTGTGGTTCCTCTCCACTTTTTTGTTAGGCATTAACTGTTGGCATCCACTGCTGAAGTCTTCCTCTTTACTTTTAGAAGTACTTCCAGTAGCAACTGGAAAGTTACCTCCTCCACTTACACATGATTCTCCTGCTCCCTTCCCCCCATTCCCAAATCACAGGAATAAGAGGATAGTATTTAATTGTCGACTGCTTTCACAGACTTCTCTGATTTCACACCCTACTGACTCAGTATGATGCTGAGAGAGGTTTAACGTGTTCTGTTAGACAGCTCAGTCTTGCAGCAGCTTTTTGAGGTGACAGCATGCCAAAAATATGTCACTCTTCGCCTAGACTGTTCTGAGTTAGTGTTTCATTAGACTCTAAACCTTTACCGACTTTTTCCAAGTTGTTTTAGCAAAAATTTTATAAGATTGTGTCACCACAAGCTAAATGTTTTCTCTAGGTGAATTTTTTATTAAAAGTTGTACTTGTTCTTACCAGTTTCTACACTGACATTTTATTCACATTTTGCATAGTGTTTCAAACTGCTTCTCCTGTGTTTCCTTTAAATATTTCCATTTTCATTTTGTCTATGGCAGGTGATCCACCGTTTTTATCTGACAGCACTGTATCTGTTGTCTTATTATAGCTTTTGTGATTAATTTCATTTTTTTCAGGCCTATTAATCTGAAACCAAGATAATCTTCAGGTTCTGTTCATGTTAAGTGCCTGAAAATTGTATCAGTTGTTATTCATGTTTTCCCTTCTGTACACCTTTAAGCTTTGGTGGAGAACTAATGTCATGTCCTCAAATAAATGTTTTCTTCTTAATTCCAACTAAGGTATTGTTTGATATTTATACACTTTATCATCTGGTACTAGCAATGTATTTTGTTCCACACAAGAAGCTGAAAAGATAAAACACATCAGGAGACCACCATTTATGCGACCTTTTTAAAGGCAATTATTTTTTCCATCACTGGTATCATCATGGTAATTTTCTTCTCACTGGATGTGTGATAGAGAAGGCTTTTGACTGACATGAATTAGTGTTTGAAGCCTCTGCTATAAAACAGCCTTTAAGAGTGATCTGAATGAGGAGAGGGGAAAGATTTGTATATGCTAGGGATAAAGACACTTTCAGGAATAAGGAACAGCTAAAAATGTTGCAAAGACTGGAAAAGGAAATGGAAGCAATCTTGTGTTCATTCCA